CTAGTTTTGATAAGATTTATAATTTTTTTTATTCTTTTTTTAAACTTAAACTAAATATCAAAATATTTGTTAAAAGTGTATAAAGTAAAGAAACGAGAGAAAAAAAGAAAAAAACAGAGCAATATTTATTTTCGCTTTTTATAAATAGAAAGTAGTAATGTTAACTATCGTTCTGTTTCTTTTGGGGAAATCCTTAATTGGTATCAATATACTTTTTTCTAATAGTTTCTCTCTTATTCCGTTTACGCTGCAATTCGCGTTATTAAATACACTAATAGCATGCGAGATAACAAATCAAAAAATGGATAAAACGAAACTACAAGTTGCTTTAAACTAATTAATATAAATAAAAAAAGAAACAAAAATCTATTATAAATTATCTGTTTCAATGGAGATTTTTTTAAGATTACTTAAAATTATATAAATTCATTTTAATGAATAAATTAGATTATACTTTAGATTTATAAATAGATTTTTAAAATAAATATAACTGAAAGATAAAAATTGATAAAAAATTTTAATTCACACAATTCATATTTTTATTTTAGTAGTTACACAAATTTTCCTTTTTCCATTTTTTAGGTAATAATAAAATAAATATATCAATTTGAAAATAGCTATTAAATTTATTGAACTAATATTTGTCATTTTTATTGATAATATCGATGTTCGCAATAGCTGTTATCAATATGAAGTACGGATTTCTGACTTGCAGTTCGAAGAAATCAATGCTTATTTTTTTTTTTCGTTTTGCAATAATTTGTAAGAATTATAATCAACAATAAATTTTACTTTTAATAAGAAAATATAATAAAAAATTAAATATTTCATATATTCGAAATATATGAATTCATTAATCATATAAATTAGTATCTTATATTTATTAGTTTTAAATTAATAAACATTTTATGAAAAAAAATTTTCATGTATCTATTTTTATATCTTATTTTTATTCTTAAAGAAATTCTAAGAACTGAATCATTTCTTCGTCTTAGCAACAAAGATATTTCTTAAGATTAAAGATAATCAAAACCTATATTAAAGTTTTAAAAAAAGTAAAAAAAAAAAGAAAAATATTATAGATAAATAACTGACGTGTTTAATCCTGAAATCAAGTAGCAAAATTTATATTTGCTATTTTTATATTAAAAGTTATTTTATTATATCTATTATATATTTTATTACATCTATTATCTCTAATATTATCTTTAATTCTAGTATTTTTAAATTTTAATGAAGATAAATTCTGAATCATATTGAATTTTTTATATTATAGAAAAAAAAATATTTCAATTTAATATAGATTGTTATTTAATATAATATCATTTTAATTAACTATTCTAAATAAATTTTACAATTTAAACTATGATTTCTCATATATTTAATTGTATTAAAATGTATTCAAGAATTAATACATTTCTTTTTCTACTTTTATATATATTCTGTATTTATGTACCATATCACGTTACCCTCATTCCGACAATGAGACGAATTATCCACTCGAAACAAGACGCGCGATTGCATTAGAGACAATAAACATGCGACGATCGTTTACAAGCGTCATGATTGGCGCTTTCTTTTCGCTACCGTTCGTGAATTATCATCGACACAAAGTGACAAAATATGTCATTTTCATCTTTATTATATGGAATTCAATTAAAATATTATGTTTGTTTAATAAAATACATGTTCTATTTGCAATATTTATTGTTTTTCTAATAATATGTACATATAACCTAATAATAACTATACACGTGTTCGTGATAAAAAACTGGCGCGAAATCAACATCGAACTACATCGTAGATATCTGAAAACTATTGTTTATTTATAATTTTAAGAAATAACATTGAAAAAAGATTTAAGAATATGATCTTTGATATTTTCTATTGTTTCATATTTCAATTCATAATCAGAAACCTCATCTATGAAATAACATCAACATAAGAATATATAAGACATATATAAGACGTCTTCACGAAGGTAAAACAAATTATATTCATGTTTACATATATAACATACATATATAATACATAACAAACTAACTCTAACTATTTAGAAACATAAAGCACAAACATTGTATCAAATTAACTTACCAAAAAAATCCTCCCAACTAACGGATCCATCCGAATCCACGGCGTTGGCAGCCGTGGTCTCCGTGTCCGCCTCGCTGCCCATCTCGTCACATCAAATCTCCTCGATTTTTCCCGCAAACAGTCACACAAAAGCGTCAAACAATTCTTTCTTGTTGTCACTGGTCCATGGAAAAAAGCAGGAAGAACAGAAGGAAGATAACACAGAATCGTCTTTACAAGTGCTATCCTGAGTGTCGATCCATTGAACATACGTCACATTTCGCGTGCGCGCGCCACCGATTTATCCGTTATACATCAATATCGCAAAAAACTAAATAATCGTAAAAAACAAATAAAACACAATTGGTTAATTAGTTAATTAAGTTCACAGAAGGAAGAGAAGAAACGACATCCCCTTAGCACGCGGTCGCGAGACAGACTGAGAGAGTGGCAGCATTCGACTCGAGCCGACCGACCGTGCCGGCAAGTCAACGAATCGGCAAACAGCCGCCACCAACCCATACACTAAACCGTTTGCTTGCTCTCTCGCGCGTTCCTCCGCTCTAGTCGCCGGCGAGTCGCTCAATGCAACGACTGTCCTCGACGGAGGCGAGCACCGTTCATGTAAATCGCCGTACGCTGGCCGGTCATTGAATTAGGACCATCGAATATGTATTTTTAACCTTTCACGGTAAACCGATGCTTGCCTGGCTTAACTGGCTGATGTTACTATTTTTTACTTTCTGTCTTTTTTCGATTTATATGTTTTTTCACGTGATACATAACTGAAATTATTGAAAAACATATTTATATTTATATGAAATTACATAGTTGATGCGTTAGGATTCGAAAGAGATGTCGCTCGCGTGGAAATTCTATGAGTTAATTGACCTGAATAATTTTAGAATAATCGTAATTGGTTATTTTGAAAGAGATAAAAAAAAATAAATAAATAAAATTTGTAAAAATATGTAATTGTATATTTGATAGAAAATCTATATTTTATGAAATCTATCTATATTTTGTTGAAATCAAATATTTCGTAATGAAAAAATAATCGCTAAATATTCTGGATAACATAATGTCATAATATAGTTATTTAATCAATTTTTTATAATTATAAATTTTTTAATATTTCATCGAAACAACCGAAATAAATAACATATCTATAACAAAAAATATTTAATCATATTTAAAAAATATAAAAAACTATAATTATATATTATTGAATATAAAAATATTCAATTATAAAAATTATTGTGCATGTATTTTTATTGATATTTTAATTGACAATATTGAAAATTATTATTATTATTAGTAATCGAATAAACTGAATATAGGATTTATAAATGTATTATAAAATATATTACATATATCAATTACATATATCAATATACATTTGTTTTACGATTATTACCTATAATCTGTATTATTTTTAAATAAATAAATATATATTATACTGAATTGCGAATATGAAAGCACACACGAAACATTCAAATAAAAGATGTATATGGACTAACAGTAATTTTCCCCCACTGAGTTTTAAGTCTATTCCCCCACTGTAGATTTTCGCCGAATGCGCATGTGCGAGAGAAATTAGAAAATTTCAACATGACGCTCGTAATTTAAAAATAGTATTATAAAGTTAAATTTAAATGCAATCTAATCACATATAATGATATTTTGTAAAATCTTTTTTTATTAATATTCTAGTATTATCAATTTATATATTTAATATTATCCAAAGTATAAAAGTTTCATTTTAAATTATTAATATATATGTTTATGAAAATAATAATAATTTTTATTAATCATTTTCTTTTAATATATTTGAATATTTGTCAGAGTTAACATATTTTTGAAAAATACATCTTCGTTACCGATTGTGCACTGAAATCTTTTTACCATAAGGGATTGATAAAAACTTCATCAATGTAACATGTGGCGCAACGATCTCAAATATGAATTAAATAATTTTTATTAAAAAAAATGAATGATAAAATTTCTTTCTATCAAAGTTAATTAAAAATAAAAAAAGAATTTTTTCTAATTTTTTCTAATTGTTTTCATGTTTCATGTTTGTTTCATGTTTTTTAAACAACGTTTAAACATAACAACATTAGATTTTAAGATCCAAAAATAAAAAATTTCCAAATTACGAATTTCAAAGTTAAAATATTTTGAATTTTTTTAAAATCAAGCATGATCGATTTTAAGCCTTTAAGTACAAGTCAATAATCTTCACTTTCTACAATTTATGGATAACTCACAAATTCTGATATCAAAGCTCAATAATATTTCTGTAGTCACATACATTGAAATTTAAAATTCGAAATTCAAATTAACAAAAACTGTAGAAATAATCAAATATTTAATAAATAATAACATCAAAAAACCTGAGAAATTTCACTTCTATAAATATTGTTAATATTGTTTAAATATAGATCCAAACTTGCAACTTGAAAACGTATATATGAATTTATTAATAGTAAATAAATTAAATAATTGTAATTTTTTTTATAAATAATTATTTTTTTAAGTTAACGAAGAATTTTAAACAAAAATCAAGTTCAAGATCACATTAGTTTCTCACAGTAACGGGAAAATTGCATCTTAATGATAGCGTGTTACCACGCTACAAAGGCGAAAGACCCTTGATATCGATTTTCAAGGACACTTAATGAATATATTCACAAAATTACTATTCATACATGTCGATTTATTTCACCAAGATGGAAAAACGCAATATATAAAAACAGAAATATCTCATTTTATTTTAAAAAATTTTTTAAATAATTAGAAAAATAATCAGAAAAAAGTTTATTAAATTAAAAAATTAAAATCCGATAAATATATCAATAGTTTGATTAGTTTGATTATTTTACCTGATAATATAATAATTATTATAACAAAATACAATATAGAGAATAAAAAAAATAAAAAGATAAAAAAGATATATGATATATATGAAATTGATAGAAAAGATAAATACACGGATACGTAATTTAAAAAACTTAAGATATCGAAAATCATACAACATTATAGAGGATTAATATTATTAATTTAATAATAAATTTTAGGTCACATTCGATAGTCTATTCTTTCCATACCTTTGACTCGGTTGCAACCCTAAATTCATCGGTTTAATTGGATGCCATCAATTCAAACTATAATATCACCTTTCACCTATATTAGATGCGCATATTACTTAATGCCCTCGCTCATTATCTCTTCGTTCCTTTGATTTTTCCAGTCACGCTAACAGCCATCTTTTCGATCATACTTTATCCATATTTTTTCTATTCTTCATCTTCTTTCCTTTCTCTTATCCATTTTAACAATCTGTGTCTGAAAATAACGATTCTATTCTTGAAGTTTCACTTAAGAAAATTAAAGAATATTGGAAATCCTCGTTTTTATATATTACAAATCGAATCGAAGTTAAATGAACATGGCATGATTCAGCGATAAAGGTTTTATGAAAATTGTTATGTTCTTTCTCCTTTCATTCAACATATCGTTGATTTTTATGCTTTTTTGATTATAATAAACATTTCGCACATTCTTGCGTATAAATAAATTTTACATAGTTTTATAAGATTTGATTTGATTTTTTTTTTTATTAAAGAATTATGAATATAAAAATTAATATTTTAAGTTAATATTTCATGCAGCTCTTGCATGTTTAAGCATTGACATTAATATGTAAATATTATCACGTAAAACATTAATAAACATGAAATATATTTTCCAATATGGGCTAACTTAATTGAATTTCTCCGAAAGACATTATCGGTATGATTATCTTTGTAAAAATACACGAAAAGTAACGAAAAAATATTATTTATCGTATTCAATTTCTTAAATTCTGTTTCAAAATTCAACACACTAATTTATCTATTCCGTTCTTTTAAAACTTTAAAAATAAACCAATGAAATTAAATTTGCATATGCTACTGCTACATACTAATTTAACGCTCAATCTAGAAATAAACAGAATCAATTTCTGTTCGTGATAATCTATTCCTAAATTATCTCAGTCTATTCCAAATCAACATCCAATCTATTCAATAGAACTATAAAGTACACAAATCTATTTTTACCGCCTAACATGATTATCCAAGGAGTTAATTCGATTAATTTTAGATTATGACTACCAATTATTAATTCAGACTACAATACGAATACAAATTAAAATATTAGCTTTTTGAATAACATTTATCGTATCCACAAATGTTAATTCTTTTATAACTCAAAAGATAAATCTAAACAAATCTAATTCACATACATCTAATTCTATATTCCCCTAAATTCGAATCCTTTCTACAAACATAGAACATGGAACACCCCAAACACCAAATGTTCTAACAATAAGGGGGTGAACCCATGGCTAACACGCGACTTTGAACGACGCAAGAAAGCCGCAAGTGAAAGAGCGCAGGTCTCGAGGCTGAGGAGGAGAAACTGGCCGCGGGTGGTCGAATGAAGTCACGCAAGGGTTGAACTGAGACCCCAGAGTAAAGCCGCCGATTGTTTCCGTGGCAAATCAGTCAGTCTGCAGAATGAGGTGTCCCGCGTGGCTGTTTTTCGCGTTGTTCCCGCGATTTTTCGCCGTGTTACCGGTCACCAATTCTCAGAGGACCCACGCAAGACAGGGATTGGGCCGTGAACAACCTGTGGTCGAGATCTCCGAGCAAGGAACAGTCGTTGGCAAGGAGGTGCGACGATTTTATTCTGATCTAGACTCCGTATATGTGATTTTCTTCCTCGTTCTTCCTGTAACAGATACATTGTATTAACAACTAGAAAGTGATTCACGCATAAATCTGGTTGAAATCTTTAAATGGTAGATTCGTGACAATCGCCAATCAGAAAGCTATTGCTGCGTGTTTAACATGCGTCATTGAAATTTTGTAATAATTCAAGTTGTCTATGTTTCTAATAATATAGGACAAGCATGCGATTTCTCCATTGTAAATACAAAACTATCAAATTGCATATTATGTTTCTCTTTTTTTTTTTTTTTTTGGAAGTATTTGTTTTGTTGTTTTTATAAAATAATTTAAATAAGAGGATTTAATAATATGTTAAGTTGATAAAATAGTGATATCTTTTTTATACGAATTCTTCCTTCGTGCGAAAGATTCAATTGTCAATTTTTATTATTCGCGAGCGAGCAGGAAATTATCATACATACGTATTTCCCTGTGTGATTCAATGCATTGAATTAAATAAATCTGAAATGTTTACCGAATCAAACTTGTATATGTCAAGTTTTATTTGTAAAAATAAATAATTTAAGTTGACGTGTTTCGAGAATTGTTAGGAAATCAAATGGAAAGTTTTATTGCGAAGATATTGGGCGATTCTTTCGGAAAGAATGACAAAGCTTGACTTATTATTTTAATCGAAAGAAATTTTAAAAATCATTATACTTGATTAATGCATATAAAATATTTTTATAAATTTGAGACTAATTAAAGACAAAATATTATAATCTTTTTAAAATCAAAAATCTCGGTGGATTTTATTTTAGGATTTTATGATAATTTATTTTCCTAGTATTTAAAAATTTTAAAAATCTCTAAAGCATTCTTAAATTTTTATCTGAAAAATCTTCTATAATAAATTCTGATAAATACAGTTTAATAATCTGATAAACAGTTTATATTACTACATTTCTGCCTTTTTTAATAACATCATTTTTGCATAACAAACGAGCTCCATATGACAGAAATTCTATATCACTGTGCTATATAGAAACGTTAAAGTGAAAAATCTGCATTTGAATAAGTATTTGACATTTTAACTGCATGAGAAACAATAACATGCGAGCACTGTAAGTTTCAATTGTTCCAACTAAATATATGCAGATAATATGCACAATGAATACTAATTTTTAACATTTATAAATTTTAATATTACACTATTTTTTACCTTTTCCTTTTTCATTTTTCACGAATTGCGAAATTCGTGCAATTATGAAATCTCAGGAAAATAGAAGAAAAAGTTTCTTGAACTTATGATATTTTAATCTCATGCAATCACATATTCCTTTCTTTCTAAAAAATCATTACTTTTTACGAGCAATTATATATACCAATTAGTTTTTTTTTTTAATTCTGTATTAAATTTACATTTATTTTTTAAATAGAATATTTTATAAATAATTTTATTTTTTTAATATCTTTTAATTAGTAAATATATTTGGATTAATTAAATATATCTCTTATTATACAATATAATCAACTATATTCGACAATTATATTCGATTTACTAGAAATAATCAATTAGATTAGATTAGCACTTGTTTTGCATATAATTATTTTATTAATTCAAATTATTTATTTATCAATTCAAAAAAAAATCATTCTAATTAATAGAATTACAATTGATATATACATTTTTCAAAAGTAAAATATAATGTATAAAAAAATACAAAAAAAAATTAACTTATATTAAAGTAACGACTATAGTATCGTGACTATAAACTTAAGATATATTCGTAAATAAAATTTGAAGTTAAGTTAAGAATTTTCCATAAAAATATCAATCTTTGCAATTTTATTTTATGCGATAAGAAATCGCAATAGCTTCGATAAAAATCACAAGTTACGTGAACTATGAGTAATGTAATTTTGATTACCTTTAAAAAATGAATCCACGTATTGTGCTCGAACCTGATGTTAAGTTTAAGTAATTTGAAGTTTTGATTGCAGACTAGGCAGTATTATTTTTCACTACATATGGAAGAATAATTTGTCACATGTAAATTTATGTTTCGTCAAGAAATATTCAGTTTTTTAAAAATCATAATATCAGTAATTAATGTAAAATAACGTGAATTATTTCTTTTTATATTCTTAAAATAGTTATTTGACAAAAGTTTGAACCTAATATCATTTTCTTCATAAACAAATTTTTATTTGACGACTGCTCTAATTTTTGACATTTAAAAAATTCTCTTTTTAAAAATATAGAAATAATAAACTTAATTTTTTTTTTCAAAACAAATTAAAAACTATTTCTTCGTTTATATTGCAGGTATTTTTAAGTGTTACTCAAAAGGTGATACAATATTTAGGAATACCTTATGCCCAGCCACCGTTAGGAAAATTACGTTTCACTATTCCTGTTACCGAACCGCTTCCATCATGGAGCGGTATACGAAATGCAACACAATTTGCATCATCTTGCCACCAAATGACAAATCGTTTGAAGCTCCATGAAAAACTTTATAAAAGATTGTTACCACTTGATCAACTTGATCCTGGAGTTAGCGAAGATTGTCTGTATTTGAACATCTACACTCCTGATGGTAAGTGAAATTACCAATAGTTTCTATAAAGTTACTATCTAGTAATCTAGTAATTTAGTTACTATGAAGTTTTTCGGAAATAAAATAACTTTTTCTTAAAAATAATAAAATTAATATAAAAATAAAATATAATATAAATCAAATAAAATAAAATAAAATAAAAATCACAAATCAAAATTTATAATTTAATTATTTTTAAAAAAATATTCTTATAAAAATCACTATATCTTTACTTATTTGCAATCTCTAATCTTAATTTAATTTCCAATAAAAACTATTTTATTTAAAATTTCTTACTATCATTAATCATTTCCAATTATTTGTTTTAATAATCAATTTCAATTAAAAAAAATTTGATTTATGCTTCTTAAATAATTTCAATATTATAAACTATATAAAAGTTTCCATAATTTTTTAACATGTTTAACAAACTGAAAGACAATCAATTTGCTTCACTTTTCATTTCAAACAATCAGTACTTACAATCTTCATTAACTAGCAACATAACATCATTAACTAAAAAGCAAATCATGTTCATCATTTTGTTCAACTCAAAGTTGCGCGTAATCATAATACATAGTGTTATTAATATAAACAAAATCTGAGATTTTTGATACTCGACACGTGATCGTTTTTTCTTGTGCGAACAACACACAATAACAATAATCATCTACATCAATTTATTTCTTAATCTATCGATATATTGTACAAAAAGATGGTGTGACTTGATGAATGTTTCGTGTCGAAGAAAAACTTGTGATTAGAACGTTATCAAGAATTGAAGAAAATTATTTCTATTTTTTTATCAAGTTCGTGGAAAATTAATAACATTGTATGTATACATAATTTACTTTATAACAAGCTGAATTGTCGAAATTGAACTAATACAAGTTATCTTACGTTTGAGGTTATTTAATAATTAATTATAACATTTTTAATTAAAAGATTAAATGTTTCTTATTTAAAAAATAATTCTTATTTAAAAAAAATAAAAGAATTTATTAGTATTATAGAATTCTTATAAATATTTTAGACTCCAGTTATAGCCTAATTAAAATCAACAAATATTCAAATCTATCAAGTTAAAAATTTTATTTCATCTATCTTTCTAATTTGTTCAGAAAATATATTCTTGCTTTCTGCAATATTTTGACGCAATAATATTATATTTTAACTATAATTTTTGTTTGTGTATTATATATTTTATTACATTTTATTACATTGTATTTTGAATATTTTATGCAAAAAACTTATCGTGACTTATCGAACAGTTTCCCGTTTCAATTTCTCAATTGACAATAAATATAACGAACTGCGTGTCGACAATATGTAAATCTCGTAGTTCTTGGATGTCGGTTAAGGACTAGGCTAATAGCGGTATTACAAGCATCATTTTCAGCTAATTTCGAATGTCATATTTATTATGGTATTCCTAAATCGCAAAGTCAAACTTTCAAAAGTCGCGATCTGTAACCTAACCTCTTTCAAAATAATATGACATTATTCATCAAAAATATATTCTTTTTTAAAAAACTTTTAACATTTCCGTTTATATTTATTTATGTTTACATTTTATGTCTTATTCTTTTCAAACTTTAAATTTTTACAGTATAAAAGTAAATAATATAAGTGGAAATTGAATTTTTATTTTATTAATAGTACTTACTTGGGATAGATTACGATCTAAGTGACATATATTATATATATATTTCTGACACGATATTTACACGATATTTTGACGAATTATATTTCGACAATCATTATCGAAATTAAGTGTAATATAGAATAAGTATCAGGCTAGAAAATTTGAACACTATAATTTCGTGTAGTTTAAGGAAATCCTTGATAAAGTTTGTTTCTAAGATTATCATTTTGATATTTTTATAAATATGAGTCGAGGACGTGGATATGATTTTTTTTATTAATATAGTTTCGTTATGAAATTTTCATGAAGCATAGAAAAAAAAGTGAAGATTGTAACTATAAGAAACTGATAAAGATACGAAGAATTTTATTTGAATAATAGATGATATATATAATAGTAGATGATATATATAGTAGGTGTAGAAAATAAAAATTATAAAATTGCTTATGAAGATTTGTTAACGAGAAGGAAATACATATATGGAAGTATAAAATGTATGTAAATCATATCGATCAATCATATAGGACAAGTTTATGATAGTACTTATTGCCAATAGAAGGGTCAATTTACGAAATATTTCATTCTTTCCATCTACAAAATGAAAAGGTTAGGACATACTACGTCATATGTAGATTCCTCAATTTGATTATTCAAAAATTCTAACAAATAGACAGTAATTTAGAAAGTAATTTTAGGTTATACAAAATCTTTATAATTGTACATTATATAAATTTAGAAAAATAATTTTAGGTTTATATAATGTGTAAATTAACATAAATTCAAAATATAAAATTAAATTTTATATAATAATTATTATCGAGATAAACTTATTTATGTATTTCTTTATAACAGAAGAAATTTATATCTAAAATCCGAAATTTTTTAATGTAATTTCTATGTTATAAAATATTATATAGAATGATTTAAGTAATAAATCTTAATAATATATATGTTTTCTTATAGAATTTCAGTTACAAACTATCAATCAATGCAATTCAAATCAATTTGTGGTTTTTCATAATATCCAAAATAATGATAATTTTAGATTATTTTCTACAAAATTTAATTTGTAATGATTTTACTTACTTTTTCTGGATTTATATTAGCTACTTCTTAAAATAATACTTTACTTCTTAAAATAAAAAAATATATTATAATTTTCGAGTCACCTTATAAAATTTCTAAGAAAAAATAAACACGTAGAAGAAATATACTCACGTATATATAGTAGATTCAAAAAAAAAGAAAATTGGATAGGGGACAACCGGTAAATCGGGAAATCGTGTCGATTCCGCAAAGCTAACTCCGGTCGATATAGAAACAAGGAACAAGAGTAACAGTAACTGGCGCACGTCGTAGCACGCGATCTTTTAGAATTGGTCGAGATGTTAAGATACTGTTGAGGCCGGTCACGAAACCATCTCCGTCATTCTGTGTCCTAACCCTTCTACCATCATTGTAATCAAATCTTCCAAATCGGTAATTTTTTTTTTTTAATTTTTTTTCAATTACCAAGATTTTATATGAATTTGTTAAATAAATTAATTTGTTATGAACTTTTAAACAATTTAGATGATACTTGAAAATCTTAAATCATATTTAGATATTTAATTAAACTTTATAGATAAAATGTTGAATAAATATCTTTAAAATTGAGTTATATGATGTGCATGAATTGTCTTTATTTTTAAACTTTATATTGTGTATTAGAACGTTTTATATTTTTTTTTAAATTTAAGGATATAGATTTATGTTTAGAAAATATATAATTAAACTATTTAAGTATTTTTATTTTTCAACAATTATACCATTTCTGATTACAGTATCTTTTGTTTTACATCCTTCTCTTTCTTATTTCATTTATCTCATCTTTCACTTCAACTTACCTGAACAATTAACGTCTAATTTTTAAACAATTATTTAAAAACATTTACATAATCATTTCCAAACAAACATGCAAATATTTTCCATAAATCCTGCTGAAATCTCACTATTCTCTTACATCTGTAATTTATTTTCTTAAATCATTAAATTTCAAAATCATTCTTATAAAATATCTTCTCCTGACCTATGTAATCGAAAGTTAAAACCTATAATTAATAATCAATTCTTTCGTTCAAACAACTAATCCGACTTGTAGACTTTTGTTAGAAAAAGATTCGTGCCATGTGCAATCGCGATAAGCGTCTAATGAATCGTTGTGGCAAAGTTGTATCCCGAAGAAAGGTTATTCTTGGACAATTCAGACACCATCATAGGGAGCACGATAACGAAGACCAAGCCAAACTTCTGAACTTCGTCTACTTATACTTATCGTATCATCTAAAGTTTTATCCTACCGAGCAATGGCCTGAATTTTCCTCGACCTTGGCACGCTTCAAAAACCGACCACACGCCACATGTTATACAGCTCGTTGGAAGAAATCACCGAAATTAATTATTCAAACGATAACCAGATGGGCTTCGTAGCTTACAACTGATACTACTTCATGAAAGCTTTTCAGCTTTTAATGTTATATATATATATAATTATTGAATGCATCATAATTAATATTTTGCCAATATAAATTTTTTTTAACTTGAATTGTTAATTTAATACATTGATTTTGGGATTCTAATTTTCTGTTGTATGATGTTGATATTAATAATTATATAAGTAAAGAGAATTAATTATAATATTAGATAAGTTCTTTAGAAATTTGTTCTTTAAATATTTTATGAAATTCTTTAATATTTCTCAAGTTTTTATTAATGATTTCAATAGAGATTTTTAATATAGTCAATCATATTTTTGAATTATTATTATATTTAACTTATATATATTTAACTTATTCTATTATTGTCCAATTTCTTATATCTTTTAAATATAAACTTCTATTCTACAATAATTATAATTTTATTTCTTATTTTAAATATTAATAATCTTCATTACTTTCTAAAAATTTGGTCATTGTAATGATTGTAACCATTTACAATAGATCATTGCTGGAAGAATGCTGGATGATATGCAAATTTTGTCACGATCGATTCTCCAGTTTGACCGAAAATGAGAATGCATACTTGTGATCACGCACGCGTTTTTCAACATCTTCAGAATTTTGTGAATGTTGTCTCGTTAATTCCTCAGAAATGTCATTAAATTTTTAACAACTATTTTTTTTCTCCCACTTTGTTAATTGCTTTTTGAAACAATAAATAATAAAAGAATTTTATAAAATCATAATAAATAACTATGGTTTACAATTAACAAGTAATAAAATGGGAAACGCATTAAGTCTTTTTAATTTTAAATTATACAGAAGTTTGGAAATGTAAATCGTTATCATTCAATATTATTTAAATAAGTAAATCGCATTGTATTGTAAATATTTTATATTATATAGATTTTGATTCCTATAGGTAACAGACCAGACGATGGATGGCCTGTTATGGTGTGGTTTCATGGTGGTGATTTTAACACTGGCACTCCAGCTATATGGGATGCATCATTTTTCGTTAACAAACATAAAGTAAGTTACTTAAGTTACATATTAGATTCTAAAAAGTTTTTAAAATTATAATTTTCACTTATTATATAACTCTATTCCAAAAATGATCAAAAATATAACAAACAGTTATAAAATTACATATTTTTAATTATCTAGAATAAAAATCTAAATTCAAATTAATTTATAGTAAAAAGGAAATGTGATTTTTTTACATTTTGCAAATATTATTAACAAGCTAGATTTTATTATTTTTACATTGGAAAGACGTTTTATGATTAGCAAATGATGTTTTGACCTTATATTCTGTACATAAAGAAAAAAAATTTCAAATTGCGAATCAATCAGAGCTAACGATGAAAATCGACAGAAAATCGAAGGAAATTAGGATGTTTCTTGCGTGCTTTAGCTAATCCAAAGTAAATTTAAGCTTTGGAATCGCACAGAGAACGGTCCATCTATGATGCATACCTTAGGTAACGCTGATAAATGTTAATTCAGGAACAACAGCCACGAAAACATTAACGTTGAATTCATTGTTGAGGGAACACGTTTAACGATTCTTAAAAATTGTTATAGAAACATACAACGATATATTATACAGTAATACAAGAGACCTCATAATCTAACTATATTATAAGAACATATCTAACACTACTAATTCATTTATAGTCTTACAAAGCAATGTAAAAACGACGTTATAATAGAAAATCTTATATAGATAATATTAATAATCTACCTTATAAACATCTTCCTATCTAACATATTGTTTAAAGCAGAATGGATCATATAGATTAACTCGTAACTTAACATTCACACGTTCCTAATCTCTCAAAGCTCCTTTTTCTTCAAATATCTGATCTACAGAAAGTTGAAAAAAAGAAAAAATTGATTCAGAAAATATAAACCGCAATTTTTCGCAGTTAAAGATCCTAACCCCTCTAAGAAGGAACATGTAACTTCGAAAATTCTTAACCTATCCATTAACAATATTGCCTCTCGCTCATCTTCTCAAAAAAACTCTTTGTAATCTCTAATTCTAACACGCTAACGATTTAATTGATCTTTTTCAGATCATGGTGGTCACGGTGGCTTATCGTCTCAATATCCTTGGCTTCTTCACAACCACGGACGCAGAGGCTCCAGGTAATTATGGCATGTTCGATCAAATAGCAGCACTGGACTGGATTCAGAAGAAGATCAAGAATTTTGGTGGTTCTCCGTCCAATGTGATAATATATGGCCATAGTTCGGGTGCCATAAGTGTAGGTTTGCACCTGGTTAGTCCTCTGAGCAGAGGTAAATTCTCCAAAGCCATTGCCATGAGCGGAGACGCAGTAAGCTCTGTGGGTTTACCACAAACGGAATTACCGGTGGTTGATATCATCGCCGAAAAATTTGGTTGTTATCGACAACCCACATCAGCCTTGATGGAGTGTCTTCGTCGAGTAGATGTAAACATCCTGGTCCGTGAATCCTCAGACATAGAAACGTGGGGTCCTATTGTTGATTATACAACTAATAACTCCACAGAACCGTTTCTATCTATGCATCCAAGAGATGCATTAGACAGTGGCACTTTGAATTCTGTTCCTCTACTCGTTGGTTATACGAATAATGAACAGGCATTGGCTTACATAGAGTCCCTAAGCAAGGAGAACGTAGATGGTAAACTTTCGTTTAACAAGTTCGAGATGCTAATCACTGACGAATTTGTATCATTGGTCCAGAGCCCGGAAGACAATAGTACCTGCGACCTGAAGCCAGAAATGGTCGCCGAGGCGGTATTATTTTTTTATAAACCTCATCCACCGAGCAAGGATCAAGGTGTGCTTCGGGATAGATATTTGGACTTGCAAACGGAGAAAAATTTTGCAGCTGGGCTTACTCTGTTAGCTGATAAAGTATCCAAGGAGAAGCTGGCATTCGTTTATAGATTTGACTATAGGCCCAAGACACAATTTATCATTAAAGATGTGCCTGAATGGGCTGGCGTTCCCCACATGTTTGAGCTACCATTTGTCTGGGGACTTCCCCTATTAGTTAACAGCCCTGTTCAGTGGAACTTCGCTGACAAAAAAATGGCTGACGTGATGATGACGATGTTGGCTAGTTTTGCTAGGGTTGGTAATCCATCCCTGAGTAATGTTAAATGGGAATCATACACTGAGGAAGAGCCTGGGATCTTGATTATCGATAGAAACATCGATATGAGCAATTCCAACGCAATTGATTACAAAGCACTGGCTTTCTGGAACGAATATTATCCGATGGTTCTTGAAGAGGCAAGGAATAATTGTTGTAATATAACCAGCCAATCTATTGCATTGAGGAAAGCTTCTTATGAGATTATTTTGAGTAGTTTTGTTCTTGTCATAATGTTTTGGTACATAGAATTATAATTAATGGTATAAATTATTCTATTTTCCTTCCTAGATATACTTTTTGCACTTTCTTTTGTACAAACATTGACAGATATAGAGCATCCTGGTTTGTGTTAACTTCTTGAGATGACGAATTGTAATACAATTTATTCTTGCTTCAATAAAATTCCATTTTGTGCTTAATCATGTTTAATTGGCTATATTATCGTGGTTCCTAATTTCAATTAACTTGAATTGTCTTGTCTTCATAGCAAGCGATGAATACATGAAAGAAACCTAAATAAGAAAATATAGACGAATGAATATCGCTTAACATTTTATATAAATTATAGAAGTAAAGAAAGATTGATTGACATTAAAAGAGATATTAAGAAATTGAGAAGACAAATGATATATATTCATAAAGTTCCAAACTAATTAATTTGTACGCTTCGAACAATATTTATTGCAAAAATTAAATTTTAAATGGGTTAAATGTGAACTTAAATCATAAAAAAGAAGGGGGAAAAAATGAGGTGTTTTGGATGTAATAATGAGGAGGAGAACCAGAGAGCCTGGGCTTTTTACTTTGTTTAGTCTTTTTTATCTTTTTCTTAACATTCACTGAGAGATTTTTTATTATTTGCTTTAATACGGAGAGATATAGAAAAAACATATATTGTTCGAGAAACAAACGATTGATAACTTATGAATATTTTGATGCTTCGATAATAATAATTAATAATAATAATAATAGTAATAATAATCATTCGTGTGTATGTCTGTCTGTCTGTGTGTTTTTTCTTCATTGTGTATATGTGTACCGTCTATGTATAATTATTTTATATATATATATAATCTTATATATATATATATATATTTATATACATATAAGATATATATACATATATATATATATATATATATAAGAGAGGTGCGCGGCGGGCGATGCATGGGGGCTGGTGGCCTGCGCACGCGCACGTCCAAACATTTTTCTTTTTCTTTTTTCATTCTTTTCTCCTAAATACGTATATATACATTTATATATTTTTATATAAATATATAAATATATATACAATCATTACTTAATCATATTTTATTCTTCATCCATACTTGTTCTTCTTTCTTGTCTCTCCTTTTTTTTTTCTTGTTTTTTTCTTTAATGCAAAACTCCTATTATAATGATAACTGACGCCGCGGGGTCTCGTTAACACTAAAAATTCTTTGTGCGCCTCTGTATTTGCGCGTGCACACGAACCACCCCGGGACCAACGTATGTACAACATTATTAGTCCTTTTTTTTTTTATATTTTTTACTCGCTGTTTATATCCTCCCCTCTCTCCTCTAATTCTCTGTTTTATTTTTTTCTGACTTTCTTCTTCATTCTTTCCTTCTTTCACACTTTTTTCTTTGCCTCTCATTGTCATCTTCATCTTCTATATTTTTTTTCCTCTCCTTGATATTTTACGACTTCTTCTTGTATGTATCTTTTCTTTTTTCGTCTATTTATTTATAATTCCGTCAGCCCCCTCCTTGTCAGCTAGCTTTAGTTTTCTCCGTGGTCACCTGAACCCCTGTATCATCCGTTGGTTGTATCCGGACTTGTTGCTGGTTATTAGTTAATTTATTCCCTTTTTCTGTGAATTTATTCATGCAGGAGAGTACAGGCTTCTGCTAGATCTACCTTACAGAAGTAGGCACAGCGATTTCTTTTTCTGCTTCATCTTCTTCTCTGGTGATTTTTTGTTTATTTGTCGTACCAGATCATAGAAAATCTGTAACAGAAATAAGTTTTTATTGATTGATATACATTATTATGAATGACATTAAATTACTGTTATAATAAAATTTTATTTCTATTTTGTTAATAATAATTATAATAATAGATTTTTTTTAACATTAATCCAATATTGAGAATGACCGAATGCTAAATTCAAATTTAAATATTTGATTATATAATAGTATTATGATTTATTAAAAGAAAAGTAATTGGTTATTTAATAAAGTATGAATGTGAATAAAAAAATTCCTATAGTAATTCAATTATCTCAAAAAGATTTAGATTTTATGTATAAGAATGAATTGCATAACAGATATATATAAATATATCTGTATAAATAGAATTTATCCAAAGTAAATTATTTTAGAAAATATTATTTATGAATTGTTTATGTTTTTTGTATGTATTGATGAAATAAAAACTAGTCTTTATTTTAGCTATGATAGTACAAAAAGTTACTATTTGTGAAAATAATTTATTTATATTAAATTAAAAAAATCATATGTAATTGATAATAGAATAAAATGAAAATGCTTCAAAAATGTATGTATGTGTGGAAAGATATAAAAAAGAAATTCTGTATTGAATTTTCTTAAATTTTCTTAAATTCCAAGTTGCAGATACAAATGTAAATAAAAATTTATTTCAAATATTCTATGAAGATTTATTTAATTAATCTCTTTAAAAAATTATTTATTTAAGTTCAAACTTACTTTCTTCTTAATCATTAATCATTTTTTTGAAATATAATTTACTGTGAAATGTTTAGAAAATTTTTCATAAAGTGAAAGTTTTTAATATAAAATTAACCTTTTTAAAAACCATTTTATTTGTAATTTTTCTAATTTATATCACTGAATTTTGTTTTTTAATATTATAATTATGAAATAAAATTAACATGATTATTATTATTTTTTTATTTATACTTTAAATTTTAAAAAAAGTTTTGAAGTTTAGAGGAATTAAATTATTTATAGTACTAAAAAAATAACAAGTTATTTTTTTAATCTTTGTAGTAAATTTCTATAATATCTATTATTTTAATAAATTTTTTTTATCTTAAATTAAAACAATAAATAACTTACATTTTATTTATATTTTTCAATAATATTGAATTTATATAAATTTTACATATTGAATTAATCAAAATAATGAAAATAGGAATATAATTAAATGATTCTCATAATTTTTAGTTTTTTCTTTTGTTTTTCAAGCATTGTTTTATACATACTTTAGAAAATAATATCATGTGAATCATATTCTTACACTTAGGCTATTACATTCTCACATTTAATTAGAATATCTCAACCTTTGTAACGGTCTTGAATAGTCCTACACATAGTATTAATTCAAAATCAATAATAGTTCTCTCAGACACCTTTGTTCAGACAACTACTGTTATTTTGTAATGGCATAATGATTTTATTTTTTTTATTCATCTAGAACTTTAAAAATTCTAAAAAAAATTTAACATGTCTCTGAATTGCATCTACTACTCACATCGTTAACATTAATTTTGGCTTTGGCAGAAGTCTCCATGAACGCGCAATTAAATTGCCGGGCAAGATTGACGCCCTGGTCTTTGCCCACTACCCTCTCATCTTCCAAGTCACACTTGTTGCCCACCAGCACCATAGGCACGTCATCTGTATCCTTCACCCGTAGAATCTGCTCCCTGAGATCTTGCAAATCGTTGAACGTCGATTGCGCCGTTATCGAATATACTAACACAAATCCCTGGCCATTTTTCATGTAAAGATCCCTCATGGCTGTGAATTGTTCCTGTAAAAAGGAGTAGAGAGATGTTAATTTATAATCTCTATCTAAAGAGTACACAATCTTTTCTGAACTTAAAGTAAATGATTTTTTTAAAATAAAGACCATTAATTTCAAAAGTTTAATTGAGAATAAATTGAAATTTCTCTTGGATTGTTTACTTATTTTGAGGAACATTATAATTTTCCAAGATATTGTTTTTCTTAAGATGTTTTTTGTAATAATGTGTTAAAATATTATGATTTTAAAAATTATTTTATATAAAATATATAATGTTTAATATCTAAAATTGTTATCTGCTTATATAACAAAAAAATATTATTTAGAATTTATTATTTACATTTTATTTTATTATATATATAAAATTTAATATATTACTCAATAGTAAAATTAAATTAACAAAAACTGTTTTAAAAGAAATTTCAAAAAATACTTTAAAGTAATTTTATTGTACAATTTAAATTATACCATTCTTTAATGATGTTTTTTATGGATGAAATAATGACTAAAATGATAGTGTAAAGAATATGGTAGAAAACTCACCGTTCCGGCTGTGTCTAGGATTTCTAACATACATTGTTGACCGTCGACCTCGACCTGTTTGCGGTAACTGTCCTCGATCGTCGGATCGTACTTCTCGACGAAGATTCCTTGTACGAACTGGACAGTGAGGGCGGACTTGCCTACACCTCCACTGCCCAACACTACTATTTTATATTCACGCATTTCCTTGCCCTAATTCTCTGTGCGCCTCTGGTCACAGCCGAGGGGTCACCGAATCCGCCACGTTTTGCTCCTCTTTGCTTTCAGTTACACCAGACCTGCTGATGACAAAAGGGTACTTTTACTTCCTTTCTCTTTTACGCTTATCAACTTTTTTTTCTTTACTTTTTCATTTAGTAACTTTTATAATTTCTTATGCAGATATATACTAAAGTTTTTATATCTTTAACTTTTCTTTAAATTTCCTTAAATTTTTCTTTAATTTTCATTTAATTTTTTTACATTTTTTTAGAAATTAATATTATAGAATTTTCACGTTATATATTTATAACATTATCGTTGAATTTTTTTAAAACTAACACTTTATAGTGATAAAATTGTTTTATTTAAAATATGAAATATAAAAAAAAATGAGAATAGAAATCCATGATTTTTATAGTATATTTTTCAAATCATATTTGTATTATAAATTATATATAAAATGGATCGTCTTTCTGATTGAAAATTTTTTCAGAAATTCTTAATCCAATTCTTTTTATACAACGCTAAAAAATATCCAACTAGAAATCCAAATTAAAACCATAAAATATTTTCATTCTCTACGAAACGTAAGATTTCTCAGAGATGGAATTACGAAATTTCATTCATGATGAATGATAGGGGGAAAAAAGATAGAGAAAGAGAGAAAGAAAGAGAGAGAAAGGGGTGAAAAAGAGGATCGAGAGTTCTGCGTGCTTTTTCCATGATCCCATTGTCTTCGCTTCAAAAACTTTTT